CACCCTGCTCCCATAATCAGACCACTAAGTAATTTGATCCAATTCCTGCTAGAAAGCTCCGAGTGAAAAGGAAAAACGCCGTATGAGCCTTCTGATGTTGCCGGATTTCCTTTGATAAAATACTAATTTGCTGGGAAACTTATGGGTATTTTCCTTCCAATTTTTCAGATAATATTGTTCTCATTTTGATCCAAAATATCTGACAATATCGAGGACAAATATGCATAGGTAACTTCCTTCCAAAATAAACGTTTCATCTGAGGGAGTTTGGCAACTCTCGAATAGGCATACGGCGTTTTTCTTTAGCACGGCACACTGGAAAAAAAACACATTAAAAAACACATAAGAGTCCAGACTCTTAAAACATCAACGAGAAAAAGTACTCATGATTCAATCAGAATCTAGCTTAAATCAAGAACCAAGCCTCTTAATTTAAGCGGATTTCGTTTTGATTCAAGCAAAAAACAGATTGAATCGAGAGTATTTTTTCTTGTCAATGTTTTCAAGAGTCTAGACTTTTTAGATCCAATGTGTTTTTTTTATCCAGTGCAGTGCAGTGAGAACTGCTTGAGTTTCCCGGTTTCCGTAAATTTTGAAAGCCAGAAGTCCACAATTTCGAAAAAAAAAACAGGCTTGAATTTGAAGAGCAACACCAGATAGAGCTGAATCGAAACAAGCTCATGGTATTTGCCTCGTCGCAATTCGCGAGCCCCTCAGCGGAAAATTCCATCAATTTTTCGGTCCGAGAGCCCCGGTGAAAGAGGCGCGCTCTAGCGGGCGAGCACGGGCTCAAAATGATTTTTTAAAGCGGGCAGAAACGCGCACTTTCTCCCCGTTGCATTTCTGTAATTATTTACTTTCCTCTCCGAATGGACTATTGGCTGGAAACTATTGCGGGCAGCACTGAGAGAAGAATTCGTCGCTCCATAAAGGCGAAAGTCCGCTTCTCACATGAGCCCTAGAAACTGCCGACCTAAACGCACGTCAGGGCTCGTGATAAAACGCAATGTCCGCGAAGCGACGAATTATTTAAGCAGTTACCTCAGTGAATTCGCCTGTTTCACACTTTCTCCTTTCCTCTGTCGCTGGGACTGAGGAAAAATAACGGAGGACCACCTTGGAAGCATTACTCTGAGTTTTCCCTCGTAATGAGTTTATCTGTGTCCATCTGCGAGGCAATAAAAATCCTTGGCCTTACATTTCTAGATTGGAGATTGCGCCGAGGGCCACGGTTGTAGAGCCTCCCGTCAAGTGTGAAGGCAAAAAGGCCAATATTCTGCCGTGATAGCGAAGAGAGCAGTAAGTAGGTGCAAAAATTAAATTTTCAGAAAACGGGCTCGGAATTTTTTGACCGGAAAATTGTATTGAAAGAAGCCTCCGTTCTTTGTCAAATTGTCACTAATCGTACGAAGGACTCCTATAAGTAATTTGGATGATTAAAAATTGACCGATTTTATTTCAATGGACCACTAGACAAGGCACGAATTTAAGCAATCTGATACATGTTCCTTAACCAGAATTTCACGTAAAACACGATTAGCGCAACGAATATTACTGAAACTAACTTCTATAACGAAGATTTCAACGTTTTTATTTCACACTGGTTACGAGGAATTTGAACTGCCCGCTCACAAGAAACTCAAAGCTCTACTCGAGTCAAATCGCGCACTACAACGGTTTCAGCAAGCTTCTCCATCGAGCAATGTTCATTTCCCATTATATGTTGTTAAAACCACAAGAATTTTGCTATAGCTGAGCTAAACCGTCAAGATTGAGGTTTCCAGATTTTTAAATCGCAGAGACTGCAATGATAAACGTTTAGCGCGCGATGTGAAACACGTAGAGCATTGACTTTTCGTGAGCGGGCGGTTTGAATTCACGCATCATGAATCATTAAATGTCTTCGTAAGGAGTTCATTTCGGTAACTTTTGCTATGCGCATCGCATTTTACGTGAAATTTTGGTTGAGAAACATGTATCAGAATGCTGAAATTCGTACCTAGTCTAGTGGTCCATTACATAAAAAGGGTATTTTGCATTTTCATGCTAGGTTTTCATTAGGCAAGACAGCCGTAAGTTCAATCTTCTGCATACTTTTGTGGTTGCATTTTCGACACACAACAAACCCATTTTCAGGTTGGGAATTGGCAGACGGGGGCGGCACTTTACTTGAAAGCACTGTTTTCATAGGCTCTCTGGAGGAAGAATGTCACTTACTGTCTAGCCTGAAAGTACGCCATTTCTTGCGCACTTACGGCTTTCTCGTATGTCTCATTTTTATACAATTAAAATGAATTTTACCATCTTAGCTACTTCAGTGATTTCATCTGAAAAAGATTAGCCGAATTTTGAAGGAAACTAGATTTCGCAAAATTTGACACTTACTATTCTCTTTGATATCACGGCAGTAAATTCGCGAGTGGATTTGCTTAAGTTTTTGAATTATTGCCAACTTCCATTACAATAAAACGAAAGTCCCTTGAGCCCATGGTGCACCTATATTTGGTTTTCATGCTGGCAACAATAATGACCACATCCAAAATTCCTTAGGTGGCTCGAAAAGCGGATGGATTTACCTAAACGCTGACCAAAATTCATTCAGCAACTGAATTTCGTTCTCGACTTCAGCAGAGCGTTTTTCTTTTTAGTTTGCAGCTCTGCCGATCTGGATAAAAAATTCGACTAAATTCACCTAAGGAAATTCACCTAAAGGAGAGTGACGTCATAATTAAAGGTCCACAAAATGCTAACGCACCACGTACTTACTGAAGAAATTCCAGTTTTCTTAGGGGAAAAAGGAGATCAATTAAACTCTTCCTCAGAAATTAATGCATGAGGTAACTTGAGATTTCAAATTAGGTGGTGCTAGGTTTTTTAACTGAAAAACATAATTTTTTTATTTCTGACAATTTAAATACTATTGGTTTCCGTTCTTTGCATGAAAGTAAGTGTAAGAGTTTAATCTTTGCTAAGTGACTCATTTTCGATGGAAAGGGTTCCTCCTCTTTCGCCTAACAGCAAAAAGAGGAGTTTGATCTATCAAACCCCTCGATATACACGAGGCAGGGAGGGGACAATACTCAATAAAGGCCTGCCAAATCATTAATAGCGAGCGATTTGATTCACATAAACTCTGGTCCATTGTGTGTGAGCGAATTTTAAATTCTTATCAGCCAGCGTTAAATAAAATAAATAAAACCATGGTTGGGATTTAATGTCCGATAATTTCCCCCTGCAAATAATTCTCGTAGTGAAATTTTAATTATAGGCGACGTCTATCCGAAAGCTTAAATTTGCACCTTCCTTGGAGCTCATGCATAGCATGCTGAGACAAGTGTCAATCTCTGATTGGTTCTGAATCAGTACAATTGGACCTGATGATACATGCAATCAAACAGCACCATCAACGGTTTGTTTCATAGGCAATGGAGTTCTTTTGAAAAAACAGTTCGTTTTAACTGTATGCACCAGTCACGATATTCTGTAAATCACTTACACAGTAAAAAAGGAAAAGTCCTCTGAAACAAGCTATAAGGACTTGTTTTTTTATCGCGGAACAGGGTGGATTGTAGTGGAATGCACTGGATCGGAGTCCTGAGCGATCCAAAGTGTTCCAAGTGATAAAAAAATCCAAACTTGGAATTTGGTTGATTTGTTGGGGACGGCAAGTACCTCCCAGATGAGGAACACATTGGATCGCGAGATCGCCCCACCTTGGAAGAGCGATCCAGCGTTCCACCCTAATCCACTTGGAACGCGGCTGAGGAACGGAATAAAAAATACCGATGTTCATCGCGATCCACAGCGTTCCGCTGCGATTCGCATAAAAAAAGCCCTACACTACTCTTTCGTCTCAACATAATATGAGTGAGCTCTAGTGATCCATTGATTGCGCTGAGTCGCACATCATGCCTGACAAAGGATAAGTGCATGCCGATAGTCCTGCACTACATATTCTAAGTGTATCCTAGATCTACTTGCACCTAGGGTAAGATTGCCAAAAGTCGAGTGATTAGAACGAACAAATCGCGAAAACAATAGCCGTGGGAGTCCTACAATCAGCTGCAAAGGTTAGGCGACCTTCAATGTGACCAGAATAGAGCAGGCATAACATAACACAACATGGAAGTCAGAGTCGATTGATAACGCAACGAGATACAAACAAAGGCAGCAACGAATTTTCCTAACAAACGGCAAGCTTTCGGAACTTCGCGAAGTCAGATAGTTTCGTAACGAAATGAGATCGCTCAAGCAATGACTTGGCGTAGTACTTGACCAACGAAGCTATGGCGTAATTTCTCGCGACATTGGCGTCGAACATTAACTAGCCCCAGGCCTGAAACTTCAGAAAACACGGCCTAAGCGAAAAGCAGTTGAGTTTCGAAAGCAACGATAGGAAATGATAAAAGTGCAGCGAGAACGATTCTTTACCTTTATATCACGTACTCCATGGCGTATCCATATCTGCTTGACACACTTATATCGGACTCAGCGTCGAGTTCAACAAAGAGAGCGAAAACTTCACCATGAAAAATCACGAGTCTAAGAACCGCTCCGAATTGATAAGCACGGCGGAAACGCGATTCAAGAACGAAACAGTAGGAAAAGCCAACCGCAAATGTTCCAGATAATATGGCACACAAACCAGAGACACTCAGACCAGTCGCAAACGAGGGTCTCCTGACCTCGGCCGAACAAAAACTGAAATATTTCTCGATTCTCTCGCGTTGTTAGCTCATTTTGCTGCTGCGTAGTCGTTGACCAACAACAGCGCTGCATGTCCGTGGTGCTTGCCACAGCCGTGGACTGCCTACGCCATCTATCGGGATTTTAAGGAATTATTGTCATGTCCAAGTCATAGCCTACGCTCTCTAACGGAGTTTTAAGGAAGTAATCGACTGGATGATTTTTTAGCGCGGTTGCTGCAAGTTTTCAAAATTAAATTGGAGTTGGATTTATTTTCTCCATCACTGATTCATTGTGATAATGAAAATATAAAGATGCATCACCTAATGACTCATCTCACGCCTTCATATCAACGGTGTAAGTCGGCAATCACATAACTTGTTTGCGGTGTCTGAAAATCTACGCATCTGTGTTATTTTTTTACAGGAGAACAAATTGACATCATTCCTTGAAGTTTATGCAGAATTTTCTTCGCATAGAGAAGAAAAATCTTGGCAAATTTAAAGAATTGCCGTGGAGTAGTTTTCCGTTTAAAAAATAAAGTATGACAGGAAGTCTGCGACGACGCAAACCGAGTTATGTGATTGCCGACTTACACCGTCAATATGTTTCTCATAATCGAAAGTTCTCAAAGTTTGAGGATTTGAAGATTGCTGAAGGTGTTTCGTCAGTTTCTGGCGCGGTCCAACTGGCGTGCAACATAACGCATCCATTAAGACAAAAATCTTGGCGGATTTGGAATTTTTAGAAATAAGCAGAACGAAAGCCCTTGTACATGACTGGCGTGCAATACAGCACACCTGTTTGACCGCACCAGAAATTATGACGAGACACCTCAATGATAAGTTCAGAATGACCAACTCACAAATGGATTATTACATTTTGCAATAAGGAATCAATGTCTCTGGCTCTTCCATAAAAGCACCTTTGTGAATAGGGAAACCCATGGCATATATGAGGCCTTATCTGTAACAATGGCGGATGTAAAAAATTACCTTTTCGAAACACGCTTAAAAGACAGTTTTGGTCACACAAAGATTAAATATGCTTGCCTCTGGCGTACTTAATGTGCAGATCTCAAAGATCACATCACAAGTATTTTCTTAAGATTTTCTCGATGCCGAAACAGTTTTTTGAGCGTGTTTCAAAAAGGTAATTTTTCACATCCGCCATTGTTACATACAAGTCCTCATATGTTGTTCCTAAAATGAGCCAGAAATAACGGTTCCTCATGGCAAAATGTGATCCAATTAACAAAAGCAATGAGGGGAGAAAGTATTCACTGAATCTGTTCACTCCCACATAATTGATTTCACGGACTTTTCAGCGAACCATCATGAGATGAATGATAATAATATCGATGACAACATCGAGTGAGTACCTAAGGCTACTAGATGCGATACACAAAAGTTTGTCATATCTTAACCCACTGCCGAATGATTTAATTTAACCCTGCCCGAACAGGAATTAGTATTACATTTTGCCCCATTTTCCTGCTTAATACTTAATCCTTGATATTTTGTTTCCTTTGGATTTTGAATGAGTGCATTCTTATGGATATTGACTGGTACTATTCCTAGAAAGTATTATGGACAAAATGGCTTGTAAGGTGGCACTACCTGCCGAAAATCTATGGTAACATATCGTCCCATATAGGAATGGATGATTATCAAATGCAAATGCGATTATTCGAAACTTTTCGATTGCAAATTCTGCTATTATTGGAGAAATCGAAACATGCGACTTTAAATATTAGAAGCGAATAATCGAATGTTTTCAATTAATGCTCGGATTTTTTATTTTTTTGTAACAGTGCTTCGCAAATATGTCGGGGTGGTGGAACAAAGCTTGCACAAGGCTCTATTATTCGCACTTTTGGAAAGTATTTCTACATGATGGACTTTTTTCAACCATACTGGTGATAATTTGGACTTCAGGGCATGGGATATGGAGGGAAATTTTCCATCCTCAAAATTTTGAACTACTGAAGGGAAGAATATGTCACCCCAGATTTGCCAAATTTTTGAATGCTAATCGAATAATACTCGAATACCTATCCAAATAATTTCACCGACATTCGATCGGTATTTTCGATCACATAAGGCCATCCTGTCTGGTTGGTTTGGAAAGTACTTAAGCACATAGGAGTGCCTGCAAAATCATTGGCTGTAAGCGATTGGTCATATGAGATTTGGTTTTAGAAAAATTATAAATGAATTGAAGCTTGAATAAATGAAATCTGCCTCAACATGAAATAAATCTAATCTATAAGTAAGGCTCTTCATCAGCCGGTAGTCTCAAGTCTCAAACTCCATAGCCTTTGTTGTTGAAGCAACGTGTGTAACTCGTAAGGCTCATCTAATAGGAATTGCGACAAGTTAAGGATTAATGTTACTGTAGTTGACTGACATTTAGAGTTATACCGAGTATCATCTACATTGCTACTAGAAGCAATTTTAAAGATTGTAGGCCTGAAATCGTAGGTACTCTAACGCTCTGTTTACTTTCTCGCAAGCTCTTCTACAGTTTGTGCAGGTGATACATTCTATGACAAGTTAATCCATGAGATTGCTCCATCACTGCAACTGAGAGAATTCAGCAAGACCTCTGCAAGGTATTTTCAAGAAACCTGATGAGATTGTATTGGCTGTCGAGAGCAACAATCAATGTAACTGATGATGCAACTACCGATAATAAACGACAGATTGGAGGAGGAGATTGGAAACCAATTATTTTGAAGTTATAGAGGGTACTTTAAGGAATTTCCCAGAATAATAAAATGCATTCTCCTTTCAGGAGCGCTTAAAAATTAATCAAGCTACATACTTACTTACTTGCTGCCTTTCTTTGGGAAGGAAGAAATGTCACGTCCAACTACGAAACATTCAGCTGGAAACTTTGAGCTTGTAACTTTGAATCATCATCATCACAGTCAGTTTATGCAACTATACACTCAAAACACGTAGTACTTTTTACATGAATGCGAATTTCGGCGTCCACGGACTTCGGAAATCAAGATCCTCTGTTTCTATTATTTACTTAGAGGAAAGGAAAACATCGAAAGGTTCGGGAAATAACTAGATCCGTTACACAATACGAGATGCACTTTCGGCCTCTAAAATCACGCACTCACGCGAGATAAAAGAGGAAAACACGATTATCGGCAAATTTTTAATGGTATCGTATACCTTACCGTCCAGTTTGAACCTGATTACAATTACATACAAACAACTAATGCGAAATGCGACTAAAACAAATCAGCTGATTTGGCAAAAACAAAACAGATTGGTTGGTTCACACCATTCCATTCAGTCCCAATTCTAAATGATGGGAATTTAATAGAAAATTTCCGAACCTGAGACCTGAGATTGTGATTGGTTCGTGCATTTCATCGATTCCCAGTTTGTTTTACTACAAACCGCGGGAATTTAGAAAAAAAAAAAAAACTCCTGGTCCAGCCGTTGACAACTGATTGTGAGTCAACTGACTTACTGACCCAAAGGTACCAGGCTCGAACCCCGACTTGATTTGGTTGAATCCGTCCATGGCCGGATTCACCTACTTGCCGCCCATGGGCCGCCTGTATTTTGCCGCCCCCTTCTCATTCGTATTAAAACTCCATAAAAACAGCATCAAATGAACGTGTCAGCGGGGGAGGGGTGCATAAGACGCATTCACTCGTGTTGAACACATTTTTTGGGAAAGCCCTGTCAACACTACTAGCAAAAGCTCACGGAACTTTGCGCGAAAGTTAAGTACCGTAAACTTATCTCTGTGTGGATAAGGCCTTCCATTCATAAGAAATGAACGAAAAAATTATGGAAGAACAAACATAAATGTGGATCAATGATTTTAACTTCCGACGCCGCGCCGCGCAGACCTCACCGTGTTTGGCGCAATGCGTGAAGTATTCCGACAGTCTTGTAGGCGCTATGCGTTTCACGCCGACCGCTGCTGAACGCTCTGTGTTGGACGCGATGCGTGAAGTATTCATGCATTCTTGTAGGCGCTATCCGTTTCACGCTGACCGCAATGACCGCACTGTGTTTGATGCAATGCGTGAAGTATTCGTGCAGTCTTGTAGGCGCTAATATGTGTTACATGCCGATCGCCGCGACGAGTGCTTCTCCTTTTCATCTCAAGTTCTCGTTATCATTTCTCTCTAAGTCGCGCCGTTCCTGGTCAAATTGCGTGTTTGGTCTCTCTCTTAACTCTACTTATTAAAGGTGCTGTCTCTCTTATCACTAAGAGACGACGAAATTAGAAATTACTATACTCTCAGGAAATGAGAGATTTCGTCGCCTTCCTTCGTTTGTAATTTTGTTTTTAATAAATTCGATTTTTTTTATACCTACCTTCACTTTAAAAAATTGCAAATTTTTGCCGCCCCTTAGATTTGCCGCCATGAGCCGCGGCCCATGTGGCCACCCCCTTAATCCGGCCCTGACACCTGGTGTAATTTTTCCGAGTATAGGTAAAAGAGGAAACCATAGTGGAAGAGATATCTTACAAGGCCCTCGTAACATTTGCTTCTTGGTTAATTTACCATGACAAGTCGGGTTTCTTGGCTAAGAATCCGGTGTTTTACTTGAACCATTCTTCAGGGTTTCTTCAAGCCGAGTTTCCTCAGGCCTTCTTGAGGCGTACTGGAAGCATTATGGGGTTAAGGTGATTCGATGGACGCCATATTTTGTGTCAGAACGGCATGCGATATATCGCATCAATTGGTTCCATTTTTTCAGCTACTTGTCATTTCTCTTCAATTTTGAGATCGCAATTCTGTTTTCAGGAGACTAAAGCACCCACTTACCAATTTTAACAAATAAATTCAACGTCATAAAGGCGTGATTTTTTTAGAGAGAAAATATCGCATTCGATACTGATATCGAAACTGCACTCGAATGCGATATTTTCTCTTTAAAAAAAACCATGTCTTTATTACGTTGAATTTCTTTGTTAAAATTGGGAAGTGAGTGCTTTAGTCTCCTGAAAACAGAATTGCGATCTCAAAATTCGAGAAAAATGACGAGTAGCTAAAAAAAATGTAACCAATTGATGCGGTGTATCGCATGCCGTTCTGACACAAAATATGGCGTCCATCGAATCACCTTAACGTGGTCAGAAAAGCTAGTTTTGGACCAATTTTTGACTGTTTCTTAGCTCAGGGAGCCTCGCCGAGAGTCGGGACCGTGCTGAATCGATTCTACGCTTCCAGCAACGTAGGATGCGACTGAAATCTCGAATATTTTTCTCCGTCCCAAATCGAGAAAAATCGACACGGATAACATGGACTAAATTTTTCGGGTTAAAATGGAAATTTCGCCGATAGGGTCGGAACCAAGTAAGCTCGCTTGGAATTGACCCTTGACCGATTTCTGTATCGAATGTGAGGTTTTTTTCCAAACACTATTCTGCTTTCATTTCTCTTAATTTTGCCGATTTTTGGGTTTAGAATGATTCATTAGACTCATGCGCAGGTGGTATCGTCCTTTTTTTTTGCTGAAAATTCAAAATCTGCCGAGATTTTTTATTTAAGAGATAAAAAAAAAAGCGACAAAATTGCATCCAAAAATGGTTTGCAGGGGGCGAGTCTATGGTACGTGTACACGTAAAATTGCTAAAAATCAAAATCTTGACTGATCCTTTTTTCGAAATACGCGATTTGAGATTTTCATAGTAAATGCAACTTTTCCACTGATTTTGATCCGATTTTTTATTTATTTGTACATTGAATCGGTGTTGATCGGTTAACGTTTTCATTTTTCGTTCGATTCATGTCGATTTGTGTTAAATTATCAAGATCACCTCACCAAATTTTGCATACTCCGTGCCCTGAAAACCAAAACTGCTGAAGAAGTAGCGACCCATTTATTTGATATTTTTTGCACATTCGGAGCCCCCTCCATATTGCATTCCGACAATGGTAAAGAATTTGTAAACAACATTATAAAAGCACTTGCAGCGTCGTGGCCCGAGCTGAAACTTGTTCGAGGGAAACCAAGAAATAGCCAGAGTCAGGGCTCTGTGGAAAGGGCCAACCGTGATGTGCAAAATATGATCGCCACTTGGCTCAAGGACAATAAAACAGCTGAATGGTCCAAAAGTTTACGCCCCGTTCAATTCATGAAGAACAGAGCCCACCACAGGGGCATCGGCATGTCTCCGTACAAGGCAATGTTTGGAATGGAACCTCGGGTCGGTTTGACCACTTCATCTATTCCCGCAGAAGCTATAGCCACTATTCAGGACGAAGAAGAGTTGGAACAATTATTACAACGCATGAAATAGTGAAAAAAGGTGACAACTCATCAAAATAGATTAAGAACACCGGGTTTGTCCTAAAGCACCTAGGACAAACTACTCTGGCCTAGGACAAACTAGTTCCGGCCTAGGCCAAACTAGTTTATCCTAGATTGCTCAGGACAAACTGGTTCCGGCCTAGGCCAAACTAGTTTATCCTAGATTGCTCAGGCCGAACGAGATTTCTTCCGGCAAACGAGTTTGTCCTAGGAAATTCTAGTTTGTCCTAAAATCGGGTTTGTCCGCTAACACATACACGAATCTCTGAAGGCGTTTTATGTGCGAGAGCAATTCGCCTTCAGCTGCGTCTGCAGCAATTGTTGTTATGAATATGTTGTGCGTGTTGGTTTCAGGTCATTACATACTCGACTCTCTGAAGGCGTTTTATGTGCGCAAGTGGCGTACCCTGTTGGAGAACTGGCGAATTGCTCTCGCACACAAAACGCCTTCAAAGAGTCGAGTATGTAACTACCTGAAACCAGCACGCACCGCATACTCGTAACAACAATTGCCGCAGACGCAGCAGAAGGCGAATTTTTCGGTTAAAAAAAAGAGTATGAAAGGAAGTGTGCGTGTAAAGAGAGGGCATGTATTCGATCGACTTGATTCGAACAAAAAATAAAAACGTGAGTCAATCAACACCGATTCAATGTACAAATAAATAAAAAGTGGATCAAGATCAGTAGAAAAGTTGCATTTACTATGAAAATTTCAAAGCGCGTATTTCGAAAATAGCGCTAGCCAAGATTTTGATTTGGACCAAGTTCAGCAGGAACTTACCAGTTACCATGCCGCATTTTGAAAAGAGAAGAGTTTGAATAGTTTAATACAATTAGTCTTGCATCGTGTCCTGGCTAAAATTCAAAGTCGAGAAAACATTTTTAAGCCTGAAAGCACGTTAAAATTCACATTTAACATTACCTAAGTTTTATAAATAAATGAAACTTCAAACCTGAAACCTGGTTCAAACTGAAAGCGACTAGATGTATCTCTATTAAACGTGGCCGATTTTATGCGTAACGGCAAAACATGGGCTGCCAACAAGTAACCTCTCTGTAACAACAAAAATTGGATGGTAAATGTTTTTTTTTTTTTTTTTTTTTTTTTTCGATTTCATGAATTAAAAAGATGGAAAAACGAAAGTTTGCCGATCGAGCCGAAAGCAAGTTAGACAGCTTCGAAATGTCCCGCTGAGTGCGATTTTCCAGTCGGAAAAGCTCCGCGAGTCCCTAGCTTCGAGTTATCCGCTTAAAATTGCTCTAGAGAAAGAGTCAAAAAGTGGTCAGGAAAGCTCGTTTTTGACCTGTTTCTGACTGTCCCCCGGCTCAAGAAGCCTCGCAGAGAGCCAAGACTGTGCAGAATCGATTCTACGCCTCCAACTACATAGGATGCGACTGAAATCTTGAAATTTTTTTCTCAGTCCTGAATCGAGAAAAATCGATAGGGGTTACATGGACTAAATTTTTAGCGTCAAAATCGATAGTTAGCCGATCGGGTCGGAACCAAGTAAGCTTGCTTGGAATTGACCCGCTGAGTGCGATTTTCCAGTCCGGAAAGCTCCGCGAGTCCCTCGCTCAGAGCTATATCTGCTGAAAACGCTCCAGAGAAAGGGTCATAAAGTGGTCAGAAATGCTCGTTTTTTACCAGTTTTTGACTGTTTCTCGGCTCAGGGAGGTTCGCCGAGAGTCGGGACCGTGCGGAATGATTCTACGCCTCCAACTACGTAAGATGCGACTGAAATTTCAAACGTTTTTTCTCAGTCCAAACTCGAGAAAAATTGACATGGGTTACATGGACTAAATTTTTAGCATCAAAATCGAAAATTCGCTGATCGGACAGAAACCAAGTAAGCTCGCTTGGAAATGACCCGCTGAATGCGATTTTCAAGTCCGGAAAGCTCCGCGAGTCCCTCGCTTCGAGCTATCCGCGGAAGACGATCCAGAGAAAAACTCAAAAAGTGGCCAGAAACACTCGTTTTTGATCAGTTTGCCTGAAGTCGACGAGACGCCTTCAAATGGCCGGGTATGCAAAATGACTGCCGTGACGCGCGAATAGTGGTATCAGAATTTTACATTAAGTTCACGGATTGATTTGAAGGCGCTCTTCTGTATCCAATATGAGTGGCCTTGTACAATGATGTTGACCAAAAAGTTCATAATTTTGGGTGTTTAAATCGAGTTGTATATTGGAAAAATGCCGAGGAATATTATTTTGAAATAATATTAAGATTGTTTTTAGTATCTACGTCGTTTTTAAATGAAGAGAGCGCAGGCGGCTGGATAAGATTGTGTATTTTAAGTCCCTTGGTTCGGTCATCGTATTCTGAAGTGAAACTGAAAGAGTCTCCGTTTACAAGATCGCAACTCACTTAAAAGCGGTCGTGACTTTAAATTGTTTCGCACGTATAAAATGAGTTTTCTTTGATTAACTATGAATAATCATAATTGAAGAAAAAGTACTTTGTCCACTGGTCAATTAGGAAAGCGTAAAGAATGGATTAATGGAGCATCGATGACCAACTAAATCTTATCTGATAAGGAAATTTATGTGTGAAACCCTTTTTTCCGTCTTTAAATGATCCAAATCCACCAACAAGTTTAACACTAAGTGCAAAAATGCGAATCTCCTGATGAAGGGTCGATTCTTAGTATGCCAAAAACGCGAATCTCGGCATTTCTGCCGTACTTTCTAACAGTTCGAGAAATTATTGAAACAGCTGATGGAGTTTGAAAAAACATCTTATTATTGCCATCCTCAAGAATTATTAATAAGAAGGGTAGAAGGTTAATCCCTTCTGCCGACAATAAAGAGGAATGCAGACAGTTTTTTTACGCTCCTGGAAAATCGTGTTTTCCGAGATTTGCACTTTCACCATCTATAAAGTGCTCTAATATCGTTTAATTAACATTTCCACAGGCAGTGATTATGATTGTTCAGTCAGTAATTTTTTTTTCTCATTAATTTCTTCACAAAAATTCTCAGGTATATATGTTGCAGGCAATTAGCAATCGCCGGCAAATTGCAATCTATTCGTGTTTTATCAACAAATTAAATCGTTTTAAAGCGAAAAAACGAGATTGGAAGTAGGGATTGGGATTATTATGCTTTGAATTCAAACATACGTTAGCCCCTTCTTCTTGGATACATGGTGCCAGCTAGCGCACTCGCGATTTCCTGAAATGCCATCAAAAATCTGTGTTAGGTTCGGTTAAGCAACTAACTCCTTGGCAAAGCGGAGAGTATTGCTGGATTTGAAGGCGTAAAATAATCTTTACTACATCGATGTTATCGTAACTACAATTTGACGATTTTGCGAGTAAAAATACGTAGGAACCGGTGTGCATAACATGTCGTCACCTTCCAGGCAAAGTATCACAAGCGCCAAGCGACGTTTAAAAATTTCCGCCGCCATTATATTTTTTTACAGAGAAATTGTTCAACGAACCTGTCCGAAAATTACACCGAATTTTCTTTGTGCTGCCGTTAAAATTTAGTGAAATTTTCGAACAGATTCAACCAACAATTTCTCAGTAAAAAAATAAAATGGCGGCGGAAATTTTTAAACGTCGCATGGCGCTTGTGATACTTTGCCTGGAAGGTGACGATGTGTAAACAACGATGACAACCCCGGAGACACATCAATTCAACAAGAAAATAGCGAAAAATAAGGCCGGAGTATGACCCCTTTGCCCACCCTTTACTCGAAAACAGTTCCTATACTCATCTTGAAATTTTTTCCTGATTTTTCTGTTATTATAAGCTTCCACTTCAACCTTGGTTCGATGGTCGAATCGAATACCGAAAAAGGGGCGAAATTTTGGGAGGCTCTTTAATTTGTCCGACCTTTCCTATTGACTCGATCCTCAGTGCGCCGCAAGTTCCACGCCTATCGTCCGCGCTGACTTCTGTACCAGCGAGCTGATTATTGAGATTGATAGACAAAGCGATAGACAAAGAAGACATAGGGTGTATGGAGCGATCCTATTGGTTGAAATGGGTGGTTCCTATCGACAAAGGGAGAAAATGATAGACTAACTGTCGGGTCTCTCGTGAGTTGCCGTTAGTTAGTCTATTACCTATACCTCCTTTGTCCATTGCAAATCCGCTCCCACCAATAGGATCGCTCCAAATCTCTTTTGTCTTCTTTGTCTATAGCTTTGTCGATCAATTTCAATAATCGGCCCGCAGTTCTTAGAGCCCTCTACAGGAGAAACTTTCAAAGTGACCTTGAAAAATGAGGCAAACTCACATTAATGCATTAATGGGGGCAGTGGGGAAAAAATGGTTGGCCTCGATCAGATGGATGGTTTTCCTGAATTTCTTGGGCGGATTTGTTACGTGGGGTGCCGCGCCGGATTTCGTATGCGTTCCTGTATGACGTTACGTCAACAGCCCGATACTATTCCACAATTAGGTATATCTTTCTTCAAAACTCCTACAGCAGGTAAACTTCTCTCGTTTGAATGCGTTGAAATAGACAAAAATCCGTCAAGTAGCCTTGTTCAACATCCTAATTTCAAGCTGGTCGAAAGCTCAACATCGATTCATGGGACCTAAATATTTCAATGTGAACTTTGATCATTGACCTCATTAATACTGAAAGAAAATCCACACGACAAGTATTGCCTTATTTAACTTACTTTATTAGTCCCTGATAATGGAGATAAGAAAAAAAATCAACAAATATTCAACAGTAGTTAAAACAATTAAAATCATACAGACATTGGGAAATTAGACATTTTTTCTGACCAACAATCATTGAATCAGTGGCACCAGATTCTAATAGAATGAAAGCAATCCGATTTAGATTGTCATTTAGGCTTCAATAAGGTCCTCACGGTTTCAACCACTTTCCTGTGTTTTTGGAGGTTGCCAAATTTCCTCAGAGAAAACATATTTATTTTCAAGGAATACTTTGGATATTTGTCCTCAATAATTTCAGACACTTTATACGTGGAAAAGTCTATGAAAAATTCAAGCGAAAATGT